TTTCCCTGAGACAGGGTTTCTCTGTGTAGCCCTGGCTATCCTGGAACTCGCTCTGTAGCCCAGGCTGGCCTTGAACTCAGAGATCCGCCTGCCTCTGCCCCCTAGTGCTGGGATTAAAGGCGTGCGCCACCACCTTGCCTTCCTGGACTTTCTTTTGAGGGTCTTACTGTGTAGTCCTGGCTGGTGTACAACTTGCTGTGAGGTGGTCTTCCTGCCCTGGCTTCCAGTTACACCACCACATCGATGTTTTATTTTTAAGCTAAGATCTCACTGTATGTAGTATGTAGTGCACACTGACTGGGGTTGCAAATGTGTGCCATACATCTGATAAATAAACGGCAATAAATCACCTAAGATCTCTTAATACCTAAGAATGAAATCTTTTTTTTTTTAATTCTGAGAACTGCACACAGAACCTTGCATGTCCTCGGCAAGTACGCCACCGTAGAGGTACGTCCCCACAGCACCTGAGAGCTCCTGATAGGGAATAGGCTGCGATGTAACAGAGCGAACACTGTGCACAGCCATGGCCGTGTCCTCTGCTGCTTCCCATTGCTAACACCTTTTCCCCACTGCTCTGTTCAGCCGACCGAAGAGAGATGGACTGTGAGTGAGTGAAAGCAAACAGAGAACCGTGTCAGTCTCTGGGTTATAATTTCCAGTCCCAGCCAAAGGGTTTACCAAATGCGTGCAGTAACATTCGCTGTATCATACTCTTCTAGGCCTGGTTTGCTTACATCTGCGTCCCTCATCTTCCCCACAGTTCAGCCGTTGGTGACGTGTTTCGTCACTGGTTCAGATGCTCGGCTTAGGCCGTTCATTTGCTTCTCCTCTCTCTTCCCCCAGGTGCTGGAGTAGCCCTACTGAATGACCATATTTATGTGGTGGGCGGTTTTGATGGCACAGCCCACCTCTCCTCTGTTGAAGCTTACAACATTCGCACTGATTCCTGGACAACCGTCACGAGTATGACCACTCCACGGTGCTATGTAGGGGCCACAGTGCTTCGGGGGAGGCTCTATGCAATTGCAGGGTGAGAATTTGGAAAGTGGGGTAGAATCCTGTATCCAAGGGGAGAATCCACGTGATTCAATCTCCGTTTTGGAAAGAGGCATAGTGTGTTGTGGGGGAACAACTGCTGGGGCCGTTTTCACTCCTACCCCGGGTGCTGGGACTTGAACCTGGCATATGGTAGCAGGTGCCCCCTTGCTGAGCTGTACTACCAACTCCAGGGACAGGACTACTTTAAATGCAGGACTGGTATGTAAAGAATGACAACCTCTTTCTTTCTTTTGTTTTTTTTCCCACTTAGATACGATGGGAATTCTCTGCTGAGTAGCATTGAGTGTTACGACCCTATCATCGACAGCTGGGAAGTAGTGGCCTCCATGGGAACCCAGCGTTGCGATGCTGGGGTGTGCGTGCTTCGAGAAAAGTAACTTATTGAACACCAGCTGGAGCCAATGAGTACTCCAAGGAACAGTTTGTGGGAGAATCAAGGATCCTTTCCAGAATGTTTCTATCTCACTGTGTGCACGGGGATTACAGGCACCAGTGCTGTGACGATTGTACTTGTTTGAACACACACTCCTTCGCAGTGGTACTGTTGCTCAGAAGGGTGGGTAACAACAGGTACTCAAGGGAAGAGTGCACCTTTGGATGTGCGAGACCTGAGGAGCATTTGCTTCCTGTTCCTAACTTATCAAGTGCTTGGGAGGACGAATGGATGTGTGTGTGTGTGTGTGTGTGTGTGTGTGTGTGTGTGTGTGTGTGTGTGTTGTGCTTCATATATTGTAGAGAATTAAGGTGAGTATGGCCTGCTAGGTGTGGGCATTGTCCATCCTAGGTGATTGGAAGGATATCAACTACATAAGCTTGGTAAAATGAAAGTCATTTCCTTCCCCCCCCACCCCTAGAAGCAAAAATATCTTTTCTAAATACAAAGGTAGCTCCGGCCACCACAGTTCCCTTTCTGGAGGAAACCAAGAGATCACTGTTAAAATTTGAGAGGCCAAGAGGAGAGATTGATGCTATTCTCACTTAGGGGGACATGGTTGGTGTAGAGATTTGAAAAGTGACATGAACTGAATGGAATGTGAGTGAACCCAGAAGATCACTGAAGTGTAAACTGGAAGGCTGGAGAGGACATGCTTGACCCCAGGGTCTTTCTAATGTACCATCTTGGCACTGGAGACTGAGAGATTAACAGTGGTGGTGGGGGGGGGGGGGGAGGAGTTAGAATAAGAGATGCTGTAAGTGTGCAGAGTTCAATCTACCTGTGGCAAACAAGTACCTGTGACTTTACAGCCGTCTTAGTCCCTGCCAGGCTGGTGTAGCCGTGGCAGTGTTTGTCTTTGACTGGGTGAAAGAGCAGCTTGGTGGTGACTCAAGTGCTGCCACATGACTACACTTCCACACTATTTATTCGGGGCTGGGGGGGGGGCTGGGGCCTGCAGCCTGGTACCTGAGGTTCCTGTCACTGCCCTGTTGTCTGAAGGGCACACTTCTGCTAAGGAGTGCTTACTGCTGCTGCGGCATGTGCTACATTCAGTTCTCTGCCGCTACATTTCCCAACCTGTCTGGAGAGTGGCTTGTATTCATCCTGGGACCGAATAATCAAGGACAACTGAGACTCTTTTGTTAGTTCCCGTGCCTCTGCCAACATTTCCGAGCTGCCCTTCAAGGCTCCTCTGTGTCATAGGGTGAAATCCTTGCATTATTGGTGCAGCAAGTATGGGAATGTGGTAGCCTAAATTGGGTTGCATTTTATTTTCCTTTGCTCTGGAATTCCACTTTTCCCTCATTGCCCTAATTGTGTGGCCTACAGAGTTAATTTCCTTTGTATTTTTTTAAGAAAATATTAAAAATGGACTGTCTCAAATGGCTTCAAGAGAATTTGTGGCTGGTGCTGCCTTCAGCAGACATGTTGGAGGACAGGATAAAGAGCAGCTCCTGGCCTCGTCTTCCCACCTCTTTACCGTGTGCTTGCTAATGAACTCTGCTGCTGCTTTGGTAGATTTGAAACGTCAGTGAAGTGCTTGCCTGAATTTGCCCGATTTATTGGTCCCTTTCACACTTGGAATCTACTTGAAAACAAAAGATAAAAGAGCCAGGCAGTTGTGGCGTACACCTTTAGTTCCAGCACTCAGGAGACAGAAGTGGGCGATCTCTGAGTTTGAGGTCAGCCTGGTCTACAGAGCAAGTTCCAGGACAGCCAGGACTACACAAAGAAGCCCTGCCTTGAAAACCCAAAAGATAAAAGGAATACAGAAGCAACAGCCTTGAGCACATTTTAGCACCCGTGTGAACTGTAGGTTTTCCATCACCCCAGGAGTTGTCTTTGTTTGATTCATTGAATGGCGTGTGATCATACAAACACCTGTGCAAGGGCCTGCCGCACAACTGCAAGACTTCTTGAGACAGCATCTCACTGTGCAGCTCTGGCTGTCCTGGAAACGCCTGTGTAGACCAGGCTGGCCTTGAACTGGAAGAAATACACTTGCCTCTGCCTCCCCAGTGCTGGGATTAAAGGCATACTCTACCATCCTCAGCTAAAACCGCAATACTGTTGGTCCCAGAGCCAAAGGAAAGCAGGACAAGAGGATAAAGTCCTTCGGCCTATCTGGCAGATGGATTGTACCTGCTAATCGAACCACAGCCTTTCTGTCATCAGCTCTTTCTGAAATTCAGATGTGACCATGGCAGTACTTAATATACATCCAATTATTGGTCAATATTGAAGTTGTGTCCTCAAGTTCCATAGATTCACATTTCCTGTACTAGAAAGTTCAAATTTCTTAACATGCATCAGCTCCATGGTGCTGAGGGGCTTATTCCACTATGTTGCACTTCTACGACAGTCTTTCTTCAGTCGCTGGAGAATGTGACCTCATTCTGAAGTCTTGCTCTCCTGACAATCCTAATTTCTAATAAAAATGCCACCTGGTGGGGGCTGGAGAGATGGGCCAGTGGTTAAGAATGTTGATTGTTCTCTGAGGATGTAGGCTGGGTTCCCAGCACCCACATGGCGGCTTACAACACTTAACTCCAGTTCCAGACATGTGGTGCCCTCTTCTGACCGCCACGGGCATCAGCACTCACGCTACACTTACATTCATGCAGGCAAAACAAAAATGTTAAAAAAAAAAAAAAAAAAAAAGTCACAGATAAAGACCTAACTCCCTAAACAGAGCTACTCCCTAATCCATGGTTCATTGGCAGCACTTTGTTATTGTCCTATGAGATTAGAGTCTGCGACCTTCTGGGGCTATATTATCACAATACACAATTCCAATCATGTAATGTGGAACTAATGAAGCGAGCCAAGGCTGCGCATGTTAAACAATAAGGTGGCTTAGTTGCTTTTCATTTTGATGTCCTTCTGGTCTTGGGAAGCTTATAACTAGAATTAATAGGATACAAAGATCAGAAAGTTAAGAGTCGTGGCTTTGGAACGCCCTGTTCGTTTGTAGACTTTTGTAGACACTGCAAACTAACCTTATCTTTGCCTTCTTCGTGCACTGTGCCTGAGGGCAAACCCTCAAAGATGACGACTACGTTTTCAAAAGCACTGTAAAAAAACGCTTTGGTGCCTCATAAATGTCCACTGTTAGACACTAGGCTTAAGATCTCCACGCAGCTTTTCCAACACGAAATATACTCCGCATTCTACATGGCTTGCTACGTAGGAAGCGAGTGTATGGTAGCTATATCTTGTTGAGGTGTGGTCTGAGCCGGATTGTCGAGGCAATGAAAATGTTCGAGAACTAAGTGGTAAGGCAGCCATAGTGGTTTGCCTAGGCCACTATTACGGGAGGCGCGGCGACCAGGTGGATACACAGAAAAAGGATTTGTCACAAAGTCATGCTGACACTTCGGGCCGGCAAAGAAATAAAGGCGCCTGCGCAATAGAGTCCAGACGCCTGCGCAGAGGTCCAGCGAGGGGCGCCCGGCGCCCCGCCCCTGCGGAGCCGCGCCAGCGTAGTTCCGGGTGAGCGGACCCAGACCGCGCGTGCGCCGTGGTGGCCCATGCTGTGGCGGCGCGGCGATGGAACCGGCTGAGCTGCAGAACGAGCTAGTGTCAGCCGAGGGCCGGAACCGGAAGGCGGTGCTGTGCCAGCGTTGCGGCTCTCGGGTGCTGCAGCCAGGGACTGCTCTTTTCTCTCGCCGACAGGTAGGGGAATACGTAGAGCTGATTAGGTTTACTGTCCCGAGCGACCGGCGGCTGGAGACTGGTCCGGGCTCCCAGGTTTCCGGAGACCGCGCCCTTCTTCGCGCGTCTTAACCCCGCCCACCTTCGCGAGGCCCCGCCCCGCGGGTGCGGCTGGCGACTCGGACCCCAGTGGCGGGGCACGGTTGCCCGACCGCCCTGCACCTCTCTCTGCAGCAAAGCCCTGGCTCAGCGGGTGCACCTGTCTCGGGCGGCCCACCTCTCCCAGGCCTCGGGTACCCTGCGCGAGCTGAGGGAGGGAGGAACCCCAGCCCCAGCTTCCTGGAGCTCTGGCCAACGTGCTGCGCCTCGCAGGTGTATCTCCGGCCGCCGCTCGGTGTCGCCCAGGGCACCTGAGAATGACTAGATTCCTGTCCCACCGCAGCCCTCACCCATCTTTAGTCCCTACTTTCTGTCTCATTTGCTGCTCCTCAAAGGAGCTCCAAAATCAAGTAGGACTCTGTGTGTGTGTGTGTGTGTGTGTGTGTGTGTGTGTGTGTGTGTGTGTGTGTGTTACAGCCTTGGCTGGCCTGGAACTCGCTGTGTAGACCAGGCTGGCCTCGTACTCAGATCCACCCACCTTGTTCTGCCTCCCCAGTGCTGGGATTAAGGGCGTGCACCATTTACACCCCGCCTTAAAGTAAGGTTTTTTTTAATAACCTTCTTAACATCACCCCATTGAGGAAATTTTTTTCTAAGCTTTTGTGTGTGTGTGTGTGTGTGTGTGTGTGTGTGTGTGTGTGTGTGTGTGTGTGTGTAGCATACCTACTTATAGGATAGTGCAAACTAATTTTACTCAGACCCTTACTATATAAATGGTCTGTGAGAACATGGGGCCAGTGTTATTTCATGTCGTTGAAGGATTGATAATGAAGTGCTATGTACTGTAACACAGCAGAATCCTTTTTCTAAAGAAGGAAAGGGGGGGTAGTGTCTCCCTTGTCCTGTGTGTTTTGATGATTTTCTGTAGTTCTATTTTAATAGGAATTCTGAGGGCAGGAATTAGAGTTCTCCGTTTGTTTTATAAAGTTAGGGGCCTCGTGGAGGGATGGAACTGACCGTGGCCTTGCATCCTAACCTGACCACTTATTACCACTGGAAGAGGTGCTGAACCTCCATGAGCTTCCACTTGCTCATTCTGAAAAAGTGAGGATGGTGAGCAGGCCGGCGTCTGTGGAAACTGAGTGCTGTGCCTCTGGTGCGGTACAGAACCGAGGCTGGATTTTAGGTCAGTTCTGGTATCCTTTTATGGCAGCTTGCCCGCTTTTGTAAACTGACAGAAACTTAAAGGTTGGGTAGTGGTGTGTGGTGGTGAGTGCCTATGATCCTAGCACCCAGGGCTACACAGTGAGTTCAAAGCCAACAGGGATACATAATGAGAGCCTGTCTATTCATTAAATAAAACTTTTTAAAAAATCAAGAAGTTCCTTAAAGGAATTTTATAGTTTATATATAAAGTTTTTGTTTCATACCTTTTATTTTATTTTATTTTTTAAGATTTATTTATTTATTAAGCATACAGTATCTTGCCAGCATGTATGTCTGCAGGCCAGAAGAGGGCACCAGATCTCATTACAGATGGTTGTGAGCCACCATGTGGTTGCTGGGAATTGAACTCAGGACCTCCGGAAGAACAGCCAATGCTCTTAACCACTGAGCCATCTCACCAGCCCATTTTATACATTTTAAATTGATGTTTTATAGGAGGGAAACTAGAAGCAAATTGAATTATATGTTAGAGTTTCTCAACAGAGCACCTTTGCAGAGAACAAACTATTTGTAACACACTCTTCCACTGGATCTCCAGCGAAGCTCTTTGATCATTACCCTGAATTGTTGAGAAGCCGCTCTCAGGTTAGTCTAGATATCTCAAGGCTGATATCGTCCCTCTTAGGGATGTCCTTCCTGGAGGAGAATATCTGAGCAGTCTGATTTTCACTGCAGACTGATAAGGTCCAAGTCTGACCTCAACATAGAAAAAAATAAAAAAGAAGCAAACAAATAAAGATACCCTTCCAGGGCGGGGCAGATGGCTCAGTGGTTAAGAGCACTGGCTGAACTTGAAATGCAGGTCAGGTGGCTCACAACTCTTCGTAGTTCCAGGGGATCCAACGCCTTTTTCTGCCCTCTGTGGGTACCAGGCATGCATGTCATATACATGCATACATGCAGGCAAAACACTCCTAAAGTAAAAATAAATAAATCTTTAAAATTAAAAATAAGGTCCTTTTGGCCTGGCAGTGGTGGTGCATCTCTTTAATCCCAGCACTCAGGAGGCAGGGGCAGGTGGATCTCTTGAGTTCGAGACCAGCCTGGTCTACAGAGTGAGTTCCAGAACAGCCAAAGCTACACTAAGAAACCCTGTCTCGGGGAAACAAAATCAGGATCTTTCATCTCTTAAGTGAACCTGGAGAGAGGTAGGACGTAGGAGGAATGCTTAGAGGTGGCCCACAGCGCTCTCATTCCACTCTGTAGGGTACACTAGTACAGTCTCTGGACGGGAAAGCTATGAAAGCCAAACCATGTACCCTACCTTTGATGTGATGTAGAGCCCGGTGATGACTCTGCCTTCCATTTCATAATCTAAGGCAGTAGGTTTTTCAACTGGGAGAGAGTTTGTCTCCAAAGCAAAAAGTCTGGAGACATACATAGATACTTTTGGTGGTAAAAACTGGGAAGGGATGCTGCTGACATACAGTAGGTGGGAGTTAGGGTTGCTGCTTAGAATCCTGGGGTGCCCAGGCCAGCCCTCACAGCAAAGAATTCTTTGGCCCAAATTTTCAGGAGTTCCAAGGTCCAGAAACCCGGGGCCTACATCGCAAAGTTCTAACACCTCAGCACCTACCTCAGTTGACCACCTCCTGGTACCTGTGGCTACTTACACCGCTGGACTGAGGCCCTTGTCCTGTCCACATGTGTGTATGTATCTCCTTTACCTAGACTGTGTACATAAGTAAGCGCTTAGGAGATATCTGGACTTAATGAATAAAAGCTATTAGTCTGGTGTAAATAGTAGGTTATTTTTGATATACTGGATCAATATTTTATAGTTTTATTAGTCTTTTTTTTTTTTTTAAAGACAGTCTCAGGCTGGAGAGATGGCTCAGAGGTTAAGAGCACTGACTGCTCTTCCAGAGGTCCTGAGTTCAATACCCAGCAACCACATGGTTGCTCACAACCATCTGTAATGAGATCTGGCACCCTCTTCTGCATACACAATAAATAAAAAAATAATAATAATAATAAAAAGACAGTCTCATGTAGCCCTTGTGAACTCCCTATGTGACTGAGGATGACCTTGAACTTACAGTCCTTCTGGGTTACAGGCGTGTACCACCACCCCAGTTTATGCTTTCCTGAGAGTAGGACCTATGATAGACTCCATGCCTGTTTGGCAAGAACCCTACCAGTTGAGCCACATCCTGCTCAGTATTCTGATTGGCACCTGTTTTCAGCATGTGATGTGTGTTCTTTTTAGTCAGAGAATTGGTTTCATATATAAATTATTCTTACCCTTGAAGCTGGTGTGGGATGACTAGTCCTGACTCTCAGTACCAATTGCTGTCCTGCTTTATTTTCTACGATATGATAAAGACCAGGCCAAAAGGCACTCGGAGAGGAGGGGGCTTATTTGGGTTACACGTCCTGATCACTGTCCATTATTGAGGGAAGCCGAGGCAAAAACTAAAGCATAGCAAGGAACTGAAGCCGAGATCATGAGGGAGCTTACTAGCTTGCTTTCAGCATTCTACCGCTCCCACAGCACGGCCCATTTAAGGTCTGAGCACTCAATGGCTTTTCCAACGCAAGGTTCCAAACACTTCCACAGTCCTCCCCAAAACAACATGTTTATCACAGCAATAGCCCGGGTTCTGGTACCGACTTCTGTCCTAGTGTGTCTGCTGTGGCTGTAATAAATACAACCAAAAGCAATGTGGGAGGGAGGGAAAAGTTTATCCCACCGTAATAGTTTACAGTTCATCATGGAGGGAAGTCATGGCCGGAACCTAGAGGCAAGAACCTGGAGGCAGGAAGTGATGCAGAGTCCATGGAGGAGTGCTGCCTCTGGCTTGCTCCCCCATCCTTTGCTCGGCCTGCTGTCTTATACAGCCCAGGCCTGGGGTGACATTACCCACAGTGGGCTGGGCCCTCCCACATAAATCGTCAAGAAAATGCCCCCACACATTTGACTGCAGGCCCATGTGGGGGAGACATTTTCTCAATTGAAGTTCCCTCTTTCCAGACGACTCCAGCTTATGTCAAGTTGACAAAAAACTATCCAGTACACTTCAGATCACAACTGTTTTAGATTTCAGAGGTGTGATTTTGGTGGTGGTGGTTGGGGGGTGGGGTGGAGGGAATCTTTCAATTACACAATGAAGTATTTTAGGTTTGGGAGACAAGTCTAAACATGGAATCTTTTTTGCATCATAAAAATCCTCCAGTCCACAATAAGCTGAAGATAATTTGATATATTTTTGGTGAGCCTGCATTTTGCCCACAACCCATCGTATGACATTAGGTGTGGAATTTTCCACTCACGTCCTGGCCGTGCTCTAAAAGTTTCAAACATTGGAGCATTTCAGATGGGATTTGGGGATTGAGAAACTTATATGTATGCACCTGGAACTGGAGTTAGGGAGGTTGTGAACCACTGTGTGGCTTCTGGGAGCCGAACCTGGATCCTCTGGAAGAGCAGTAAGTGATGCAGCCCCTGAGACATGTCTCCAACCCAGATTTCTGAACATCTTAACTGAAGTTGTTGGTTAAGCTAAGTAGAGACACCCAGTTTAAAATGTAGTGTGTTTTAGAAAGTTTTAAAAGTTTCCCTTAACCATGGGGATAAATCCTCCCAATGTGAGTGGAAGCTCGTGGTCAAGTAAGGATACAGGATCAAAAGGAAGGCTGAGCCAGGTGCCACAGAGTCTTCAATGGCAAGAGCGGCGTGGCCAGAACTTCCTTAG